GTTCTTCAAATGCCCGAGGAAGTACAAAAAGGTTTGGTTTCCTTATTGAAATTACCGATGGTAATTGAAATTTAGGGTTTGTGATTTATTCTGTTGGTTTAGCATTGCAGTTTCCTCTTTGTGATTTCTACATGTTCGAAGAAGAATATGCCAACTTTCTTGTTAATTATGGGATGCTTCCAGAATCTGAGATGTGTCATTACCATCCATTGAAGATGACAGATGATAGTGTGCAAGCTGAGATGTATGAACAGGTGATGAAGAAAGAAGTTGCTGGTGTGTATGAGCACAGGAGGACTATAGCTTCGGCCAAGAAGGGAGGCAAGAAGAAGCAATGACATTTGAATTGGATGATGTGTGTTGGTGTTGCTGCCCTAGTGTTGTTAGGTTTCAATTCTGCCATTCTTCTTGTGTTGGTTGTGATGCAAATGTATAAGTAGTCAATGTTTGCCGGCATCGGCAGGATGTTACCCTTTGTAATGGCATGAATCAAATTCCCTTCTTTTTTTTGCCAACAAGCTGTCTCTTGTCGTGCTAGAAAAGAAACAAAGTAATACATATTGAATCTTATATTTGCACTATGCAGGAACCAATGCATACACCATAATAATGTCAGATAACATAGGCAAATAATTGCACTATGCAGGAACCATACAGATAACATAGGCATGTACTCACAGATAACACAACACTGACGAATGGATAAAAGTGCAAATAATTGTCATACATGGCATAAGTAGCAAATAGATAAAAGCCAGATGTTTGGCATAACACATAGTTTGGCATACATAAAAGGTAATCAACCACAGAACTTAAGTTTCCTGCCTACATAATTATTCAAGTTTGGCATACACCCAGCAGACTGTACACATCACAGCCTATCAGATTGCCATGGAGGAAGCATTTGGAGTGGAGCAATTCCAGATTGCTTTGGAGCAGGCTTGGGCTTCTTCTTGGCCGGTTCTTGAGCTGACACAGTCACAGATGCAGTCCCGCCAGTTAATTGTACATGCACACTAGAATTAACATTGGAAGTGGGCACTCTAGCTTGCAGGTTTATTGTAACTGACCCAGAAGGAATTGTTGAAACCCTTGCACGTGCACTTGATTTGATGATGTTCTGTGAGTTTGTTGCCTTTGCCTACATAAGTCAGATGAAGCAAGATGTACATGATGTTCGAAGAATGAATTTAAAATACAAGATGCATAAGTTAAAACTTTGAGATATAGGTAAACTTACCTTTTTGTTGCTCTGTGCAGTAGATACATCAGTTGTGGAACTCCTTTTTGTACCGCTTGTGTTGCTCTTTTGTGTGTTGGACAGCACAACAATAGCATTTTGGTTACTTCCTGCAGCCGAATGAGATCCTGTTGGCTGTGATCTTGCAAATGACTCATTTCCTTTTGGCTGTGAGCTACCTCCGGCTGACTGAGATCCTCCTGCCTGTGAACTTCCTGCTCCACTTATATTGGTACATGTTGTCCTGTTGTGCCCAGGCAAGTGGCATTTGCTGCATTTGATAACAGTTCCAGTTTTTGGCATTTTAGTGGCCTTTCTAACTTCTGTGGGCTCCCTTCTCCTCTCAGTCTTTGGCCTGCCTGGCATCTTCACATAACCAGGAGCTCTAAGGGGTACCCTATCAGATGAGGGCTAGCTATTCATACCCTCAACTGGATTCAAGCAATGGTTGTATGTTTGTTTGAAATGGTACACAAAGTAGCAGTCGACCACATATTCATCTAGGCAGTTGGTCTTGAACAAAATACAAGAAATGGCATGGCAATATGGAAGTCCAGACAATTGCCAATACCTACATGAACATGTCTTTGATACCAAATCCACTGTGAACCTATTGTCGTAATGCTCAACTTCATATTTCTCTTCCCCATTGCAGATGTCATGGCAGTGTGCAGACAAAGATATATAGACATTTAATTTTTTATTGATGTTTGGGCATATAACACTTGTCCACTTCCCTAATTTAGTTCTCTGTTCTTAGATCCTCACCATTACTTTCCTTCTAATTGTTTCTAGCATGGTGATTATTGGAAAGAACCTAGCCTCAATGATCCATTTGTTGAATGACTCACAAATATTAGTATCTACTGAGTCACAGTTAGAGCCCAACCTGAACCAAGCTCTGCTCCAATGCTGTGGATGAGTGTTCAGAATAGCTTGTGCCCCTTCTCTGTTTTTTGTGCTAGTCTCGCTCTTGCCAAGTTGAAAAGCATAAGGCAAGGTGCTTTAGCACACATTCAAAACCTTTTCTGGTAGTTCTTCTTGGGAAACTCCTTCCAGTTGGCATAAATGTGCCTAGCATAGTTTCTATGTTCAGCTTCTGGTGCCCATTTGCTAACTGCATTAAGAATTTCCTGCACAAGTTGGAAAAATTATAAAGCATCTACCATCACATGTTTAGAACTGTGAAAACAACAAAAAAGATTAACAGGAGGTTATCTTTTGTTGGTCTGAGATGAAAACCCATTCCTTTTCTCCATGCACACCAACATCCCTAAAGAGCAGATCACAGAACCAATCCCAATTTTCATTGTTCTCCTTGTCCACAATAGCCCAAGCAATAGGATACATCTGATTATTAGCATCCCTCCCAACAGCACAAAGAAGTTCACCATTAGTTGCTCCTTTGAAGAAACAACCATCTAACCCAACAACCTTCCTGCAGCCAGCTTTGAACCCTTCTTTACAAGCATGCAGACATATGTACATTCTTCTAAAAATAGGAGGCTCTACATTATCTTCCTTGTTAACAATAACAGTGCTTCCTGGGTTGCTTCTGAGAAGCTCCATCTGGTAGTCATACAGCCTAGAGTACTGCCCTTTAGTTGCATCCAATGCTTTCTTCATCACTAGTGCTTTTGCTCTCTTTAGCTTGGACATAGAAACTTTGGCAAACATTTCTTCTTGAACTGTCTGCAACATATGCCCAGGTTTCCAGCATGGGTTGGCAAAAATGAACTTCTTATATTTTTTAGCAATTACAGTTGAGGTGATTAGTTTATTGTCTCTTCTTGGTGGACGCATGTGATTATTTATAAATGTAGATATCTGCCAGCTATCAGACCTAGAAGTATTTGACAACAAACATATCCATGGACAACCTTTCCAGTCACATTTGGCCCTCACCCTCTTTGGATCATCCTTAGCAAAGACAATAACCTTTCTCTCATCCAAGCCATGTTTAATTACAGCCTTCTTGAATTACTTCTTAGAACTAAACTTCATTCCCAACTTAAAATTGACAATAGGATTCTTCTTGTTAAATCTTGGATGCATGCTACCTTGCCCTTCATCAACAGATTCTGCATCAGTACTGTCTACATATGGAGTGCAGTTGCCATCATCCTCATCATCTTGCCCAGTTCTAGGCCTAGATGCAACACCCTCATATATCACATCATCTAAGCTTGTTGCCTCACCCCTCTTGAACTTCTTCTTGAAATCCTTAAATTTCCTATGTATTTGGTCTGCTTCTTCATCATCACCTGAACTGCATGAGTCTCCAGGCATGTACTCACTGTCAGTGTCAGACTTCTCTTCTACATTAGGCTCACTTGCTCTCGCTGTCTCTCCAGGCATGTGCTTTGCTTGTTCTTTCCCTTTACTTGGACTACTATAAAATTCTCTAACAAGGGCAACTTGCTTATCTACTTTTTCTTTGCTTTCATATTTTCTCCAAACAGCCAAAGGATGCAGATCTTCATCTTCTATGTCATCATCCTCTGAGCCAGCTTCCATGTCTCCCTCATACTCACTTGCTTCAACTATTGCATCCAGCGCGTGATTTTCAACGAACACATCGGCAACACCATCTTCAGTAGTGTTGTCAGACATGTACTGGCACACTTTGTCATCAACCAGAGCTCTTATGCCTGTACTCATGTTTGTCCCTGGAAATAGCCAATGCAACATTGTGCCTTCTTTGACATTGCAATGGTCACGGAGATGACCAACAACTTCAGGCAGTGACATCTTATCTCGGTCTATAAAAGACATAGCTTCAGTTCCTCTATCATAAAACAGTCTATCGCTTTTCCTCACAAACTCTCCATTAAAATGGAACCGAACAGGGAGCAAGTCACAACCATCCATTGCTAAGCACCTGAAGCCTACATGCAAAACATACATGTTATGCGGTTCAGTACTGATCAAATCGGTCCAATAAACAACATCAGTGCTTAAAATATGACTACAAGTGCTACATAAAGGCGCCTGTTGGCCTTAAAATATGACGAACACTATAAAGCAAAGGCTATAATCATAATCAGATGTACCAATCACTAGTTAAATAACACGAATTCCAAGGGAATCAAGGAATCCGAAACAAAAACAACTCAAAACTACACAGATCCATTTGTGCCTTACCGCTCACCCTGGTCAGCACAAATCCTGTGCTTCACTGCTTGCGGCGACCGGTGCCCGAGCAGCGGCAATGCTCCTGCCTGCGCGCTGCGCGCTGCGCCCGACCAGCGCCTAGATCCCACCGCCTCGCCGCTGCTCCCCTTCTCCGTTTGCCGGCGTGGGCGTCATCTCCGGCGTGGGGCGTCGTCTCCGGCTTTTGGGGGGATTTTTTTTTGGCTCACGGGACCTCTTCCTTTCTATTTAGCCTGGGGCTGAGTCAGCTTGGCCCATATCCACCGTGGCGCCAACAAAGCCAAAATCACAGCTGAAACCAGGAATGGGGGTCATGTGCATGGTTTGGATAGATGAGGGAGGTCGTTTCTCTGGTTTTCAGGATCAGGAGGCAAAGCTGACTATCGCAAAAGATAAAGAAGGTATCGTGGGCTTTTTCCTTGTAAATTTGTTATTATTGTCAAAGCCCAAGGCCCATATATATCTAGTTCCCTTTTTCGATATTAATCGGATAGCTACCTGAAGACGCTGAATTGCTGAAATCGTGGCTCGTGGGCAATCCATCTTCTAGCTCCCTGGAGCTCTGCTATCCTTGCACAGAGCTCAGGCTTCGCGCAGTCGCGCTACCATGGCTCTCCTCCGACTCCAAGAGCAGTGCTCGCTCCTCCGAATCTCCATCTCCCACCACCCAAATCCTCTCGATGCCCCAAGAAATCCTCGCAAGAACCAACTTTTACTACCCAATGCGGCCAAGATTGCCAACGCCTCCGAAATCCCGGTTCCTCGCACCCCCACTAGCGCTTCCAAGGCCGCAGTCCTGGCGCCGAAGGCGGCGCCTTGGCGGGACGCCCTTGTCCCCGTTACCGCCGCCCTCGCGTCCTGGCCGCTCCCTTCCCTTGCGGCGGAGGGCGACGGGAAAGTGAGCCTCGAGTCCATCGTGATGGCAATCGACGACTTCAACAACCGCAACCCTTTCTTCGTGGCTGGGGTCGTGTTCGTGTGGCTAGTGGTGATCCCGCTCGTGCAGGAGTACGTCTTCAAGAAGTACAAGCCCGTGAGCGCCATCGATGCGTTCCGCAAGCTGCGCGACGTGCCGGAGGCGCAGCTGCTGGACATCAGGCGGGGCAAGAGCGTGCGGTTCATGGCGCCGCCGAACCTGAAGCTTGTCGACAAGAGCACCGTGCAGGTGGAGTTCGACGAGGAGTACGAGAAGGGGTTTGTCAAGGAGGTGCTAGCGAGGTTTCCAGAACCGACGAACACCGTCGTCTGCGTCCTTGACAAGTGAGTGCTACATGGAAAATTGATTGAATTATTAACCTGAAGTACCAGATGCAATGTCTTATGTCTCTGTACATTGAATGGGTTTGGCCTCAAATGCAACTGCACAATATACGATAATAAATGTGTCTACCACAGTTGAGCCGTAATTTGCAAAAGATAAGTGTACATACTGTTAGGTGTGTACTCTAAGGTGTACACCTTCTAGTAAATAAAATGCATATAGTTGTGTCCTGTGTAAACTAAATGGCTCTTTGATTTTACAACTCCGAATTGTGCAAAATTCTTGGTAAATACACGTGATTGGTGTGTACATTCTCTGGAACAATGAAGAATTCCTTGGGAACACCACTAAGTCACAATTTGTAATTTCACTGTTTCTGATGCTGGGACTTAAACATAGGGAGGGGGATTTGTTATTGGCTTTTCTATCCAATCAGTTTCTAATTTACATATGATTAAAATATATATAAATCTAGAAGAAATATTATTCTCCTTTTTAAAAAAAAATCAGCCTAACCAATGCCATGTAACTTTTCACCGCTCTGGGTTTTTTTACTTCAACAAGATTAATGAAAGCTTTCGTTTAGATTTGCTATATGTTTACTTCATGCCAAAGCAATTATTATATTTAAGAGTACTCTATATTTAACTTCCTTCAGAACCTTTGGTCTCTTGACATGCTGCCATCTAGTAGCACTTACCAGCTTTTCTCCTCCACATTACCAACTTAAATTTATGCTGTGTAAGGTAGCTTTGATGGTAATTCTTTGAAAGTTGCTGAGCTACTGGTCGAGAATGGTTTTAAGGAATCCTATGCGATTAAAGGGGGCTTGAGAGGCCCAGAAGGGTGGCAGGTAAGGTATCATTCTATTGTGTGAGGAATAGCATACAATTCATTTTTGTTTTCCTTTCTAAGTCTTTTCGTCTCCATTAGGCGGTTCAAGAAAATTATCTTCCCCCATCTGTTCATGTTTTCCCGAGGAAAAAGAAGGGTGCAAAGTTAGCTCACACAGATGCAAGCAATGATGGAACATATGGTCAGCAGCAGGGAAGCGAGGAATCATCTGCTCCTCCAAGCAGGTTTGTAGTCAATACAGGCGATGAATCCAAAGATGTTTATGAAAATTCCAATGGAAGTACAACTGCTGCAAAACATGCAACTAGGAGACCATTATCCCCATATCCAAATGTATGATTCTTTTTGCCTTTTCACCACCACACTCAAAATTAACCTGTTTATTCTAGATTTTTCTTCTTACATCCAACTGGTAATCATTTGTTATATGATTCAGAATGGCACCAGTATTCACACACGTCTTACTGCTTTTCTTTTGTACTGACAGTGAACTCCATTGAGAAATTATGTTATCTCCAGCTATCACACTTAAAGCAATGCCAGACCTACTAAGCAATAGTTGACTCATATCCATCTAAAATGATAAATAATTTGGGAAGAACTTGCCACTGCCTTCGTATTTGGTATGCTTCCAGGCTAGAGTTATGACTATAGTAGTTACGAATATTTAGGAAGAAAGTAGATCATGTTAATGATAGCACGGCCATTTTTTTTAAGATAATGAAGAGACTTCCGGGAAGAACTGCCATGGTTTTTACATTTGGTATATGCTTCTAGGCTAGAGTTATGACTGTATTATTTATTTTCAAAGCTTTATATGTGAATACTTTAGGAAGGAATTAGATCATGGTTATCACAGCATGAGCTATATATTTTTTAAGATAATGGAAAGAGTTCTAGCTTCAACCTATTCATAGAAGAGACATCATACCACAACTATTACAAATTTGTAGCCCTAGCCCAAGCTACCACAACCAAATCCACATGCCTAACTCAAGAGTCAAGACCTCAAATTATTGACGTATCTACTGGCTTAACTGAAGACAGCACGAGGCATATTTTGAGTGAATCATTAAAGCTTAAATTTATGTTTACCTGAAACTCTGAAAGTCTGATAATGGCACTTTGAAGGCACATAAATGGCTTGACTCAGGTCCACAGAAATTACTAACAGGCAAGGACAGGGAATTCCAGTGCAAATGCTATTTGCTGACATAAAGTAGAGACATGACAGACTTCCCTTTAGATATCTACACCCATTTATATCCTTTGTTTCTTCACTCTTTATGATGCAAACTGACCAGTGACCACAAAAACTATTATACAACTGTACAAGCTGTTACAAGCCTCTGAGTTTATTGTGTGCAGTACGCTGACTTGAAGCCTCCATCATCTCCAACAACATCAAAACCAACGAAGAGCAATGCAGGACAATGACATGTGTGAAACTCGAAAGGTCAGAAGCAGTCGTTTCCTGCACAAACATTTTTTGTATACTTCTAACCGTGGATGTCTGGAGATTGATTGGGATGACATGGAAGATGGCCGATAGTGGTGTTTGGAGCTCCTGCTGCTATTGAGGCCATGGTGAATTCTTAGTTGTGTAATTGTTAAGCTTGTACCCGTTTGTTGTGCTATTAGTTGGTTGTAAGTGGGGCAAAATGGCATTTTGTACCTGACTTGATACACATACACTTTGTGGTGCCGTAGCGTTCTCAATTTGACAATTGTGGTTAACTCACTATTTTATCATCACTGGTTCAGACTCCGTATACGTCGCAGCATTTACAATTATAACAGAGCTTCAGATTCAGGCTTCAGTTCATGCAATCTGCGTACATACTGGTTTTAACATCGTCAAACTAGTAGATATTATTTTGCATAAAAAAAGAGTTGATATTTCTTTTTAAAAGTGGTTTACGTTGGGGATACCAGTTTGAGCGACAGCATTACATCCAACAAAGTGAAGCAACCACCTAAACGCTACTGGCTCAATGCAGTACTGACAGCGACCAAACTATATCAACTTAAAGAATGCGAAGACTCCAATAGACATCCACACGTCCACACCAAAACGGCCTCAGCCTATACATCAGAACGCTGCTCAAACGTCTTCTCGCCATCCTGCCAAGTCTCCTTCCTCTCTCGACTTGAGATCTTGCTCACTTCCTCCATCTCTTCATCAGTTAATCTTTCACCATATCCTCCCAAAGCAGAGGTGGCTATTGAGTCAACAACATGTTTTTGGCCGGTGGCGGAGCCGGCAAAAATCCACACCTAGAGCCACTATCTAAGTGCGTAATTCATAATGAACACACATACCGATAGTTCAAATAGGCAACTGATAAAATGCATAATACTCTTCTCCATTCAAAGTATAAAAGTTTTGGCATTTTTTAGACACTTAACTTTTGCTATATATATTTAAATATACATTATATTTAAATACATAGTAAAAACAATATATCTAGAAAACCAAAACGTGGGATAATTTAGAATGGAGGGAGTAATCCATAAGATATCTCACTTTTATGCATGTTTGTACAATAAACATGGTAAAAGTATGATGTGGTACAAAATAAGTACTCCATACCTAATTGTAGACAACTATTTGATTCATCCTTGTCGATCATACCATCCACATTAGCAAACTTGATTCATCATTGATTTTATCATCTTTACAAGAAAGAGAAGGGTTTAGAACCAGTACACAAGTTCCTTGAATCATCTTTAGAAGAAAGAGAAGGGTTTAGAACCGGTACAGCACACAAGTTCCTTGATTCATCTTTGAAGAATCGGTAATTGATTCATCTCTGTAAACTGGACAAAATTTCAAAATAATGTTCAACAAAAGCCCCTTAATCCCTTATGTACACGATAGCCCAGTGGCTACAGGCATGTAGTTATGGTAGGACTGAATATAACAAGAAAAATGTTGCAGATTTGCTAGCACCCAGACGTCCGATTCGAGACACTAGCATCGGACGGTGCCTGCGCGGCGAGCGAACAAGCACCCAGCAGCATCGGACTTGTGAGTGAGCGCCCCAGTAGCGAGGCCACACTGCCAGACCGTGCGTGGGGACCGCTCGCGTCTCCTCCCGCTTCCCACACGCATCATATGTGCAACACCTCGATCTACTTTTGAAACATTCAGATGCAACATTTGCAACATACAAAGAAGAGATAAAACACTTAAAATATGTGTCTAAAACACTTGCAAAAACACTTGAAAACCATTGCAAACATACGCAACATCCAGATATAACATTTGCAACATATGTGTGTAACATATGCAACATCCAGATAAACAACTTGTAACATACGTCTGAAAAAACGATGAAACATTGGGAACAGATGCTTGCAACATACGTGTACAACCACCGCAGCATATGCAACATCCCGATCTATTTTTGCAACATCTGTATGAAATGCTTGAAACATACATATGAAACAACTAAAACACTTGAAACATAGCCTTGCAAGTTGTGACATGTCTGAAAACGCCTGAAACAATTAAAGGATACCGTCCCCGGCAGCCCACGGCTACCTGGTGGGAAACTACGTTAGCGTAGGCCTCCCTTTCCTGCAGACGGTGTGAGGTAGATAGGGGTGCAGGCCTCCCCTGCCTCCCCTTCCGTGACAGGCGAGGTGGATGGGGTCCGCGCTGGATGGTGGCATGGCGCGGGCGCGCAGAGCAGCACGGGAAGGGGCTAGGTGCGGCACCGTCACGCTAGACAAGTCCGCGACGGTCGGCCCTTGTGTTGGAGATGGTGAGCGGCGCTGTTTTTTTAGAAGTCGTAAAGCACTAAAGCGCGCTGAGCGGAATGGGGTGAGCGACGTCCAGCGCTTCCCAGCATTAGCAAAAATGTTGTTCAAACATGCTAAAAATTCAATTGAAATTCGAATAAACAAAAAGCTTCGAAATTCGAATAAGACAAAAAAAAAAGAAACATGCTAAAAGTTTAACGAATAAAACAAACATAAACAAAAACTTTCAATCGAAATAATAAAACAAAAAAGAAACAAATTCAACGAATTAAAAATAAACAAAAACTTTCAATTGAAATAATAAAACAAAAAAGAAACAAATTCATTGAATTAAAATAAACAAAAACTTTCAATTGAAATAATAAAACAAAAAAAATATGGCCCATGCAGGTCTCGAACCTGCGACCTTGGCGTTATTAGCACCACGCTCTAACCAACTGAGCTAATGGGCCATATAGATAGTTGGTTCAAAAATATTTTAAATAGTAATTATGAATGACACCAAGGCAAAACTATTGAAACGAGATATGGGATTCAGAGCAAAAACACCACCAACCAGTAATTGCTGGGTATGTATATGTATGAGTATGTGGAAGTCGAATATAGGGTTTGTTTGAATCCACCAACTAAACTTTAGCTAGCTAAGTTTAACTGCTAAACGACTCGGCTAAAAGACCAACTAAAGTTTAGCTACTTCAACAGGATTCAATTTAGCTGGCTAAAGTTTAGTTTTGAAATTTAAATAGCTAAACTTTAGTTGGGTGGATCCAAACAGACCCATATTGACCTCTTGCAATAGACTAAAATCTATCGGTGGCTTTGTCCATTACTACGGTAATTATGTACTGTCTACATCCTTGGGCCCACCGGTTCGTCCATATATCAATGAAAATACCAAATAGAAATGTTGAATACAGGTTAATTATGGACTAATGAGAGCTAACCGGTGGTTAGAGTCTATTAACCCTTCTTAGCCTATATTCGACCTATTTTCATATATACCTGGGCTAATTTTTAGGCTTGGCATATCAAAAAGGACCTTGGCCAGGCAGCATCGCTGTGGAAGCTGGAGACCATCCTGTCCACTCCCCTCCCTGCAGGAATAAACATTTCACAATTGCCTCCGTCCAGTCCTGCCGTCTGTGGCTACTGCTGGTACACTGATACTTCTCCCGAGGAGTGATGATCACCATGAGTACTGACGGTTGAAGTGGAACCAGTGCATGTCAAATGCCAGGACGAGGAATGCTTCAACGACGAAGACGACACACGACAGTCGACAGGAAGGATATATGGTATGGCTCAGCAGTGAGCAGGCATCCCTTCCAGCTCCGATCCAAGATTAGCAACTGATACTCAGCCGGCCGGTTGATGTGGATAACAACCGGCTGAGAGTATTATGTACGAGATTTCCTTACCTCGTTTAGATTGGGGTTATGAATTAGTATTGGGCACTGTAGCACTTTCGTTTGTATTTGACAATTATTGTCTAATCATAGTCTAACTAGGCTCAAAAGATTCGTCTCGTAATTTACAATCAAACTGTGTAATTAGTTATTTTTTTATCTATA